ACACACACATCATCCAGCACTCACACACACACACATCATCCAGCAGTCACACACATCATCCAGCACACGCAGTCACACACATCATCCAGCACACGCAGTCACACACACATCATCCAGCACACGCACACATCATCCAGCACTCACACACACATCATCCAGCACTCACACACACACTGCATTCATTATACACACTCTTCACTCACTACAAACACACTACATTAACTATACACTCACTACAAACATACTACATTCACTATACACTCTCTGCATTCATTATACACATTCTGCACTCACTACACACTACATTCACTATACACACTCTGCATTCACTACAAATACACTACATACACTGCATTCATTGTACACACTCTGCACTCACTACAAACACACTAAATTCATTAGACACAATTTGCACTTACTACAAACACACTACATTCATTATACACACTGCACTCACTACAAACACACTACATTCACTATACACACTCTGCATTCATTATGCACACTCTGCACTCACTACAAAAACACTACATTCACTATACACACTGCATTCACTATACACACTGCACTCACTACAAACACACTACATTTATTATACACACTGCACTCACTACAAATACACTACATTTATTATACACACTGCACTCACTACAAATACACTACATTCATTATACACACTGCACTCACTACAAATACACTACATTCATTATACACACTCTGCACTCACTAAAACACACTGCATTCATTATACACACTGCACTCACTACAAATACACTACAATTATTATTCACACTGCACTCACTACAAACACACTACATTTATTATTCATACTCTGCATTCACTACAAACACACTACATTCATTATACACACCCTGCACTGCACTATATGCATAGGAATGTAATTTTTTTTTTTTGTTAAGGGAGGAGGGGGGGTGAGGCGGGAATCTTGGGTGAGTTCCCACACTTTTTTCCACAGGACTTGACCCCTGCATTCGACCCATCTAGTCTGCCCAATTTTCTAAATTAACAAGAAGTAACAAGCAAGGGGATTATCGGGTAAACAGTGTCCAGGTAAGCAAAGTCAGAGGCTGGTATCAGCCTAGCAGGGAAACAGGTTTTTAACAAAAAAACTAAAGAAAAGGCCCAGTACAAACAGAGGGCCACTGTTAAACAAAGAGGCCTTTTACAGGATTGGCTCTGCCCTTTTGGAGTAAATTTCCACAGAAAGGTTGTACCTTTGCTTCCCACAAGTGCCCTACAAAATAAACAATGTACCCCAGGCATGATTCTGGAATCTTTTTTTTTTTTTCCAATTTAAAATTTTATTATCTTTGACATAAAGGTATGGGGTACAGAAGAGAAGAGGAAATGCTTACATAGCATGGGGGTGACACAATCACATTTCGTACATCATGGTAGCTTCATGTTAACGTAGGGGCGTAGTTCGGAAGGTTGAGGGGGTGTTGCTAATTGTCCAACCCCTACATTGTCGTCGTGTGTCTGTTTCGTTATTAACCTTGTGGTCTTTCGTGGGGAATACTATGTGGTAGGCGTCCTCTGTAATGAGAGTGTTGTTCGTAAGCGCGTCAATGGGCATGTTTGTGTTTTCCGCGTCTTTTCACGGCATGGCCTTTAAGTTTCAGAGGCCTTCGCCAGCGTTCAGAGTTGTGGGTTATTTACTTAAATGTGACTGACTGGGGTGGGTATTGGGGGGGCAGGAAGTGATGGGAGAGTCTGGGTGTGTGGGTTGGGGTAGGGGATGATGGTTGGAATACCTAGCGGGGGACCTCCTGTGTTGTATAGCATCTGTAACGTCAATATGTCTGAAGCGTTGTGTGATGCCTTGCTGAGTGTTTGGAATGCGGGTGTGGGGTGGTTGTGTTCTCGGGCAGAGAGTGTGCCTGGTTCGGGAGAATTTGTCACTTTTTGGGTGTTGGGACTCAGGTCAGTCCTGTGTCGGTTCGTTGTAGGTAGTCCCCCCACATTGTGGCAATGTGGGGGCTGAGTTTCCCAATTTTCGCTTGGTTCCACATTATTAGTTCATGTTCTACCGTTGAGGTCATTACATTTTCTATTTCTTGGAGCGAGGGCAGTGTAGTTGTTTTCCAGTTTCTGGCTATTAGTATGGACACTGTGCTTAGTATGAGGTATATAATTTTTCAAATCGGTTTCGGGGTGTTTCCTGGTATCGAGCGGAGTAGGATCGTTTTAGGGTCGTGAGGTAGTTGGAGGTTCGTGACTTGTTTGATTAGTTTAGCTGTTTCTTTCCACAGGCGGTTCACCTGCTTGCACGTCCACCACATGTGCAGCATGGTGCCTCTAGTAGCGTGGCAGCGCCAGCACTGATCTGATGAGGATGGGAATACTGTGTGAAGTCGAGTTGGGACCATGTACCATCTGTATAGGAGTTTCCGTGATGCTTCAAGGTGTGCTGCGCTTGATGTTACCCCTACATGGGAGGTGAAAAGCCTTTCCCATTCGGATGGAGTGATGGTGATTTGAAGGTCGTTCTGCCAGTCTTGCATGAACTTCCATGTGGTGTTTACTTCTCGGTTAGCGAGGTTGTTGTAGCAAACAGAGACTGCTTTTTTGGGGGTATTCAGCGACAAGCATTGTGTTTCGAATTTCGTATTAAAAGGTTTGCAGTGAGTTTTGGATGTTCGTGATCTTGTTGTTGCTTAGGAGCGCTTTGATTTGGAGGTATGCGAACGTGAAGCTTGAAGGCAGTAGGAATTCTTTCCGTAGGTCTGGGAAGGTTTTTAGTCCTTCTTTCGTGCATAGATGGTAGATATGAGTGATACCTGCATTACTCCGTTTTTGGTATGGGAATGTTCCGTTGCATTGGTGCAGGATTTGGATCGGGGTTGCCAAGGTCCACGGGTGCGCCGAGCACAGCTTCTCCCTATAGGCATCCCATATCTTGAGTAAATGTCTGGAGGTGTCTAGGGTGGTCGTGGGTGTGTGCCGTAGGTGTTGAGGCATCCAGAGCAGCGTCGGGAGGTCTTGATTCCCGCAGTGGTTGCTCTCTATTGTTACCCATTGGGGGGTATAGCTGATCGAGTGGGCGTAAATGACGTTTGTGAGGATGGAGGAGTGGTAGTACTCTTTAATGTTGGGAAGGCCCAGTCCTCCGAATTTCACGTTTCTCATTAGTAGCGATTTGGGGAGTCGAGGGTGTTTGCCTCCCCAGCTGAAGCGTAGAAGGGTTGCTTGTAGTTTTGTTATGTAGCTTTGCGGGATTGGAATTTGCAGAGATCTTAAGAGGTAGAGGATTTTAGGTAGAATTGTCATTTTCAGCGCCGCTATTCTCCCCACCCAGGACAAGAACAGGCTTCTCCACGTTTGTAATTGGGTGTCAATGTCTTTTAACAATTTCAAGTAGTTAGCTGGGAAGAGATCCTTTTCTTTGCGTGTTATTTTGATGCCTAGGTACACTAGGAAATCTTCTCTCCAATCGAAGTGGTGGCTTGCTTTGAGCATGTCTTCTATGGGTTTTGGGATGTTAAGGCACATTGCTTGCGTTTTGGTGACATTGAGCTTGTAGTAGGACTGTTGGCTGTAAGCATGTAGTTCCGTGTGTAGGGATGGGAGTGATATGAATGGCTGCGTGAGCGTAAGGAAGATGTCATCGGCAAATAAGCTGAGTTTATATTCTGTATTGCTAGTCGGTACCCCATGGATATTGTCGTTACTGAGAATCGCTATAGCCAAGGGTTCCAAGGCTAGCACGTAGAGGAGAGGGGATAGCGGGCATCCTTGTCTGGTCCCATTTGTTATGGGGAAAGCTCTTGAGCAGAACCCGGAGTTCAGTACCGTTGCCGTGGGTGCGCTGTATAGTGCGTTAACTGCGGATAGGAAGGGGGCTGGGAGGCCGTAAGCTTGTAGGGTTTCATGGAGGAAGTGCCAGTTTAGGCGGTTGAATGCCTTTTCGGCGTCAAGGGATAGGGATCCTTTGGTGTGCTGAAGGATTTTGTATAGGTTCAGAACTTTCCTGGTGTTGTCTGGTCCCTGTCTGCCTGCCACGAACCCCACTTGGTCCGTGTAAATTAGTGTCGGTAGGATTGTTTTGAGACGTTCTGCATATATTTTAGCATATAGTTTTGCGTCAGCGTTTAAGAGGGAAATTGGTCTGAAATTTTGGCTTGTGGTGGGTGGTTTACCCGGTTTGGGGATGGTGATAACGTGGGCTGATAAGAACTCCTTTGGGAAGGATCCAAGTCGGGTGGCCTCATTGTAAAAGCTAGTGAGGGCTGTGATCAGTTCGTGTTTGAAGGTAATATAGTACAAGTTGGTGTAGCCATCTGGGCCCGGTGCTTTCCCTTTTGTCATTTTGTCTACCTGGCAGAGAACTTCATCAGTGGTGATAGGGGCGCATAGGCTATCTGCTTGTGCTAGGAGTTTGGGGAGGTTTAGTTTTGCTAAGTATGTGCGTATGGATAAAGGGGTGGGTTGGGTCTGGTTTTCTTGGTCTTTTAGGTTGTATAATGTGGTGTAGTAATGTGCGAATTCGTTACAAATCTGTGTGGGTTGCATAACTTTGTGCCCTGAGTGTGTGTTTAGGTATGGAATTCGCGTCTGTGCTTGTTTTGCTCGTAGCCTTTGAGCCAGTGTTTTCGTTGCCTTGTTTCCCATGGAGTAGGAGGTAGCCTTGCGTTTTTTCAGTGCAATACTGGCTTTCCTAAGTTGGATTTTTTTGATGTCGTCTTGTACTATCTGTATTTGCAGTTGGAGATTCCGAGAGGGATTCTCTCTATGGAGGTCTTGGAATTGTTTAAGGAGGTTGAGCAGGTTCGCGTGGGTCGATTTCTTGAGGTAGGATGCTCTGCTGAGTAGAAGTCCCCGCATGACCGTTTTGTGCGCAAGCCATAGCGCAGCTGGGTTTGTTCCTGTGATATCGTTGGTTATGAAGTACTGCTGGATTTCGTGGCGGAGTTTGGTCGTGAATTCAGGGTCATTAAGCAGAAGTTTGTTCAGTCTCTGAGGATGATATATCTGCCCTGTGGGTCGATTTGGACTGCGATTCGGTCATACGCCAGTGTGTGACTTATTAAGATCGAGACTCCTCTACTTTTGGATGGGGATGTGGCATGGTATTGGTGAGGGTAGTGTTTGAGCCCTATGGTGGGTGAGGAGTCGTGCCTGAAATGGGTTTCCTGCAGGCAGATAATGTCGGCTTGTGAGTTACAAATTTCCTTGAGAAGGTTATATCTTTTGTGGGGCGTGTTTAGTCCCCTTATATTGTGCGTGTACACTTTCATTGTGGACTGACTACGAGGGTCAGTGGGAGTAGAGTGGCCCTTTGTGTGAGATCTTTAGGTTTATTTTGTTTATGTCAAGTCGCCACGTGGTGGTCGTTATGCGTGTATGTCTGGTGTGTGGGTACTGCCGCTAGGGAGTCTTCAGGTTGTGGGTAAGAAGTGAGTGTGGTCTCGGTGTGTCCCGCCTTGGATGACAGGCACTATCAGTGGTCGCGAAGTGTCTCGGTATTTAAGGGGGGGGGGGCACCAACTGGGTGCCGTAATCGGGTGATGAAAATTAAGGGAGGGGAGTCTAACAATAAACTAAAGTATAATACAATGGTCACTTTCAAGGATATGTGCCGAGAGTGGCACTTCTTCTTTGGGGGTAGAGTAGTCGGGTCGGGTCCAGCTGATGGCTGTTTTGGGCACGTTGTGTGTAGGCTTTCCCCGTTGGGTGTGTGTTTACAAGGGTTTTTCTCTTTGGGTTCATCTTGGTTCAGAGTTGGGCATTGTTGCGGTTGGGGAGTGAACCCAACTGTGTTGGCTCATGTATCGGTTCCTTGGTCAACATTTAGGAGGATATGCTAGGGGGAGGATGCGGCCAGTCTAGTATGGTAGGCCGTCTCAGTCGGGGCCTATTGTTTGCCCTGGGGTTGCGAGATGTCGTGTATGCGGTCACATTCAACTGAGGCCCAAGTGTGCCTGTTCATCATGCAGGGGTTCGGTCTGTACATACAACGTGGCATTGTCATTTCTATCACATGCACATCGATCTCTACTGTATAAATCACAATGCATCAGTTAAATATCACAAAACAATACATCATGGTACCCTTTATGTTCTCGACATGTGCGTTAGGGGCTGAGGTGGGCATTCTCAATACACTTTGATAGAGTTGGGCCTCCTGTCTGGTGTGTAAGAGCAGCATGTACCATTAGTCCCTTCGTCTTGACCCCGCAGTACCCTAGTTCCCGGCGCAGCGGGCAGGAGAGTTCCCGTGTCCCGGTTTGGGTTCTGTCTCCCACTACGGGCCTATTCGTTTAGGGGGCGGGGGGGTAGTTATCGAGGTGGTACGCCACTCATAGCACCATACAGATCGTCACCCTTACTGGATCAAATTTTTAGGATTCTCTAAGGGGTATGACTGGGTCTTGCAGGTTAGTAGGTCCAGTTGTGGCCGTTCCCTACATCCTTCTATTGTGCCGTTAGAGTTAGTTTGTGTTGACGGTAGGGCGGCGTAATGCGGTTATTGCCCGGGGTATGGGTAGATTAAAACCCAGCATGGGATGCCATCAACATTTAAATTAACTTATTAACATAATGCAATATAGAAAACAAAATAACACTTGCTAGTCCTTGGGAGGTCAGCGATCTTACTCTCTTTGCGCCGCTCGTCGTTGCCTTTGTGGGCGCCAGTCAGCCCCTGGTGCCGTGCTTGAGCTTGCGTGGTGTAGGTTCTGGGCTAGGCCCCATTTGTGCAGGAGATCTAGGCCTTCCGCTGGGGTTGATGCTGTGGTGAGTTTTCCTCCTTTCGTGATGAGGAGTTTCGCCGGGTAGCCCCATCTATAGGGGATGTTGTGGTGCCTTAGTACCTCAGCCACTGATTTGAAGGATCTTCTGCGTCTAAGCGTACCTGCTGAGAGGTCTGTGAATAGTAGGATATCTTTGTACTTGTCTGGTAAATCTTTTTTTGCTCTATGGGCGCGAAGTATCTGGTCCTTTACGTGGAAGTAATGGAGCTTCATGAGCACTTCCCTTGGTGTAGCAGTCGGTAGGTGTTGTGGTTTGGGGATTCGGTGTATTCGGTCTAATAGGAGCATGTCTGTTGGTATGTCTGGTAAGACATGTCGAAAGAGTTCCACCGTGAAGGCCGTTAAGTCTTGCGTTCCCACCTCCTCTGGCACTCCTCGCAGTCTGATGTTGTGACGGCGGGATCTGTCCTCTACATCTGTAAGCTTAGCCTCATGTAGGGATAGTCTTTTTTTCCATTTCGCTCAGTCGGTTGTCAATCGCCGTGTGTGCTGTATCAATATCCTCCATCTTTCCCTCCAATTGGGATGTCCTTTTGTCTATGACAATAATATCTGACTTTATGTCAGCAAGTGCA